AATTTTGAAAAAGGTATGACCCTGCGGTTTTCTTCGATGATATCGTAAACTCGCGCTTTTCATATTCTTGAAAATGGCGTGACAATTGAATTTTCGCCTATCTTTTCAAAAAATTCTAGTCAAATGATAATATTTTTCTCGTGCCAGATAAAGCATCGAGCATTATTGCTTTCTTTACTCTTATATTTTTAAATACTGCAGGTTGCTCTTAATATTTAAAGCAAAAAATGTAAAAGATCGTTAAAATGATTTATTTTATTGCACATACACTCTTTAACTTTAAATAACACTTGCAACCGCTATTCTTGACTGTTTATTTTACGATGAAATTTTTATTAAATGATTATTATAAAGGAATGCATAGGTTTCTCTAATTTTTCTATAGCGGTTAAGTAAACCCATGTATAATAATCGGCTGAAGTACATACTTTTATTGTAGAATCCGTTCTTTTCAGCTTATCGTAATTATACAGAAACAGATAAGATAGTGAGATAAATGAGTATTCTATTTTTCCATTAAGTTATAATATTAAACTATTAAACACAGTATTGGCATTCGATGTAACATGGGCTTATTCATTTTCAACTATTTTAAAATAATGAAGTAAATTATAACATCTGATTATTGTACTAATAAAACTAGATAAATTGTAGATAATTATTTTAACTGCTGTATTTCATCTGTACAAATAAAAATTCTTTATTAACAATTGGCACATAAATTTTGAACTGTCATTATATATTAATTTGATGTAACACGTTATAAAACCATTTTTACACGTGTTGAATTTATTATTGTTGTAAAAATTTCCAATTTATTTCTTTCTGATTTACATACCATAGACATAAAAACTCTTTTTTACGATTAATTTGAAGGTATATTAAAACACGTGAAATATATCAGAAATTACCCATGAAATAATTACTCCTTTGACTCCATTTTTATTTTGTACTCCTATCTGTATTTATTCTTCTCATAAATTTTTTTATTTATTTATCTCCTCCTAAATTATAATTTTCACTCTAAATTGTACTATTCAGTTATAAAATTTCGTGGAACGTCGCGCTTTCTTATACCTACGCATTTTCCCATTTATTTTCCATTATTTTTCAAACCTTATAAAAATTTATTTTTCACCGCAAAGCCACTCGCGTATATACACGACTTGCTACTCACATTTTGCATTAAATTATATATTAATGATATACATTTTAATGATTTTTATCATATTTATTAGAATCTATTAGAATAAAAATTAAATAAACCTAATGCACAACTAGGGATAAATAGGTAAACAAAGAAAGACGTGACGAGATAAATAAATAACTTTTTAAGGAGCGTTCGAATGCACTTTATATGTAAAAATAGAAATTTTTGTTACATTTTTTCTTTATTTACTTTCTTTATATTCGCACTTCACAGATAGAATAAAATATCTTATGAAATTAACAAGGCAAAAAGATATGGCTCATCTCATCGGATGTTTTTGAAATAACGAATTAGCGATATTTATAAAATACATGGCAAATATACTTCTAATTATTTTTCTTCGCAAAAAAAGTTTTAGAGGTTCTTTAAGTTTATTCTTTTAGAAAATACGTATGTCCAAATTAACCTAGTAAAAAGATTATTGCATGTAAATTGCTTTCTAATATTAATTTAAATTAAAAATCATAATTACCGCTCTTAATTTATAAATATAATAGTGCTTCATAACATCTAAATAGCTATACTCTAATTATAAAAGTATGACTTTTAAATGAACTTCATTATTTGAACTTTAGTATAAACGTGAAAGTTAAATAATCATGTGATATTTCATAATCACTATCTTGTATTAATTGCACTTCGAGTCCAAATGCGATACAAATAATAGCATTACATATAACGCATTTATGCTAGCTTGCGATAAATATTCACAGTTCTTCGAACTTCTGCAAATTACTAGCGGACACCCTCCAAGTTGAAAATATTTAAAATAATAGATTCTGTTTGAAACATCGGATTACAACACCAAACGCTCTTTACATTGTTTTACCAAGATATATTAATTTATAAATAAATCAGCGAAGCAATTGATGAAGCCAAAACGAATCGAAGGTGAAATACTCAATCATTAATAAAAATCGAACCTAATAATTAAGGAAGCATACAAAGTGTTGCTTTTACGACAAAAAAGTAATATCAGGTTCATTCAATGCATTAAAATACGTGCTTTTGACGATAACTTTATTAGGCAGCCTCTCGGAGGATAAAAAAGACCGATTGAACCAAATGTTGGTTATCAGAATCAAGAGGATGATGGTTGATATAAATATTGGATGCACACGTAAGAAATCGACCCGTGACATTGGAAATGTTCAAATAGCCATTCCAAAATTCTTTATGAGATCGATTTACTCTCTCACTGTATAAAACTCCGCGGTGTGCACACCGATAACGCGCCACAAGAATTTGCCTCGATAAGAATTATCATTTTGTAAATTGTACTTCAAAAATAACGAACACCTTATGGATATCGTTAAAGTACTGTAATATCGACGTAATCTTATTTCTTGCTTCTTCTAATAGTTATAGTTTTGAAAGAATTATGCGCGTATAAAAGAACAAACATTAACACAGTGCGTGCATATTTTATTAAGAGCTTATTTTATTGTATAATTCATTTTTATTTTATACTTACTTATGATGACTTGCCTATTATACCTGTCCTTCAAAATAATTATTAAACAAAAATTCATTATTTTTTTCTTTTAAGCTTTAAGGTTAGACTGAGTATATATGATTACATTCAAAAAGTTAACATGGCAAAGTTAATTCACGATAGGTTTTATACATTACGTTATTTATTCATTTTACACATTCGTTCTTTTAAGGACTCAACAAATATTTTATTAATATACTCTTTGAGATTTTTAAATGTAAAGAGCTACATGCTCTTTTTCATTATCTCATATACATATACAATCACTCAATACAATCTCATATACATCTCATATACACGTACAAATATATAAAAATATAAATGGAGATATACGCTACAAGTACAAATGTAATTTAGCGCTCTCGATTTTTCGGTTTATATTTTGTTTTAATCCAGTAGCATTAAAATGGCCGACGACATTTTCATGGTTTTGTGCTTCGTTCATTATTCACCATATTTATATAATCAAAAACACCAATTCAAGTTTATTACATTGTTTTTTCTTTATTTTTGCCAAAGTGAAGATTCAAGTTTGATTTTTCCGTTTAACTACATTGCACCTTCAACAGTTAATCCTTTTGCGATATCGAACCTTTCTTTCTACTTCATTCATTTAATATTCATATTAATTTTCGAACATAATGAACTTGATTCTTCATTTAACTAATAGTTCGATATTACTGCTCGGCTTATTTCGAAAAGAAAATCAAAATAGATTTTCTTTAAATACGCCTCAAATATTTAAAGGTACACATATTATATATGCAAATTTTTTAAAAAAAGTAAAAATTAGAATATACGATTAATATCATAAGAATGAGTGTTCATGGTTAAAATTTTTACACATGATATATTGCTTTGTTTTAAAAATTTTTTAATTATATGATGAAAGTATAAAAAGAAAACAATTGATAGATCAACGGAATGCATCCAATTATTTTTAATTATATTGATTTTTCTGAAATTACCGCAGCTATAAAGATTACTTTAAAATAAAGATTTCTGCACATATTTTTATAAATAAAATATTGCGTGAGAAAGATTAGAATTACAGTAAACATAATTTTTGAATATAAATACTGCAAATTATTATATTCTTCTATATATTAAAAAGGAAGATCAATTTACGATTTTCAGGATGAGTTTATACTTAAATGATTTTATCAATACATCATAAGGTACATCTATTTTTTCATTAGTATTTTAATAATGATAATGAATTCAAGGTTTTATTTACCCCCTATAAGCTTTAGTTTCCCATAGAAAAACCTGCTTGACTACGCTCACACAAAAAAGGAGGTTTTTCCCGCGGCCGCTCTATTTCGTAATTAAATGGTTTACTCGGATTCGGCGACTTCCGCTTCGTCTTTCTCGACTGCGGCGGAAGTTTGGTGGGGGGGGGGGGATATACACGCACGGTCCTGCGACTGTGGGAGACCGCATATCCTTCCTGTTAATCCTGCCATCTGCTTTCCGTTCCTGAGCACTTCCGTTCGCCCAACTCCGGCAACCCGACCTGCTGCTGCGCTCCAACCTATGGCTCGCCCGACATAGGTGCATTCTCCTCGAGTTTTTGTTCCCTTTTTTCATGTTCGAAAACTACGCTCGCTTCATATGTACCGATTTCCTATAACGTCTTGTTAATTCTTTTGGAATACGTCCTCACTGTCGATTCATTCTAGTATATGTAATGTAGAATGAAAAGAACTTTATTAAATATTTACCTACTAAACAATAAAGTTTCGCAAACACTTCTACAAGTTTATCTTAATTATAAAAAAATCTTTGCTTTTTAGTTTAATGTTTAAAAAAGGAGGAGGATGTAATTTTGAAATTCAATACTAAGCTCAAAAAATACTTAACGTCTAGCCGATGCAATCATATTACACAATCACTATTAAAAAGTAAAACACAAACATATATACATTTTATTATATGATATATGCAGTTAAAAATTAAAATCAAGCATGACCGGACAAATAGTTCTAGTTCTGTTGCATATCATAAAATAGCATTTCTATTTCTCTCACAGTGAGAGAAACAGAGAGAGAGAGAGAGAGAGAGAGAGGCATACAAATACTATCTTCTATTACATATACAACCTTACTTTCATTTATTTTTCATATATTATTTATATTACGATAATCTGCCCCCATTTTTTCTAATTATTATAGACCAAACTTTTTAAATCAAACAATTCTTTAGTTAAATACGAATTTAATGTCGCATGTGAAAGTCTAATAAGTGAATGAATTCGCTAAACTAAAGTAGCTTAATTAAATTAAACTTCTCGTATAATTAATATAAAGTTTTGTTTCTTTATTTTAGCTGTGGAATGATCTCTGTTTTTACATATTAGGAACGCTTATTAATTTTTATTAGATACATTCTTAATATTTTAAATTAAATAAACACTAAATATTATAACGTTACACATAATGCCTTATAATACATTGTGTTTTATGCGAACGCCATCGTACTATTAAATCAACAAACTCACTTAATAGCACTTGTGATATGAAGCAGAACTTGGAAGTCTTTAGAATTTATGGGAAAAATAAAAATAGTTAAAAAAAACTATAATAGTAAAATATTAAAATATAAAAATTATAAGAAGCGAATGAGAATTTTTCGTTCGTAAAATTTTGAGGTTAGAAATGAATTTGACTTCCATCACTGACTCCAGTATTCGCGAACTTAACTTGCGACTTATCTGCGCACGCGCAACAGTGTCAAATAATAAGAGAATACGAAATAGTGACATAACGGACATTCTTATATGAGGAAGTACAGGACGGCGAGGAGTCCGAGAAGAACGGCGCCGGCGATGACCGTGACAGAGAGACCGACGCCACTCTCGTTTCCGTTCTTGTTCCTCTCAGCGTCGAATGACCATGTCTGCTGCACCTTGACGTTTCGCCTCTCCTCGGCAACGATCTCACCCACCAGGTACTTGCTCATAAGAGCTATTGCGTCAGATGAATGCCCAACGTCGTTGAAGTCCTCACTCGCATCTTTTCCCGCGTGGTCAAGAAGAACCTCCTCGCCTCCGGGGTGTTCGTTTAGGAACTCCGCCAAGTCATACACCTTATTCTGGATCACGATTTTCGTGCTTGATTTACCGTTGCTGTTGCGCACCTCTTCGTACGTGTATTGCTTTAACTCGTTCATTTTTACGGTGCGTTTTTTATATCTCGATTCACGTAGCCTGAAACTTGAACAAATTTTTCTATTATTTCCGCTAAAGTAATTGGTAGTGTTTTTTTTTTTTTTTTTAATATTTGCACTTTATTAGTTTTTGATAATCACGAAAATACAATTCTGAATTACCGATTTTTAAACTATATTATATTAATTTTTACTACATTTTAAAAAATGTAGAATTCAAATATTTTAAATGAGCTTTACTGTTCATCTACTCAATTATACAATTATTTAAGTATAATTAAAAAGTATTTAACATCGATGGTTTCTATTTCAAATACTAACTTAAATTTTTTTTTGAAATTATAAGTAAATGATTTTTTTCTATATATTACAATATACATTATACGATATACACTATACAGGTATGTAATATTATAACAACAATTTATTTTTAACTTAACGATAATAAGTCATATGATGAAAATCCATTTTAAATCATAAACATATATAATTTAGTGACTTAATCTTCTTCTCTGAATACAAAATACATACTTCAGATAACGCGCAATTTTACACGACCTTATTTAAAATCCGAGGCCATTACAAATGGCGACGAGCTATTGAACTACATGAGTATAGCAATTCTATGGTTATTGAATGAGAATACTTTGTCATAACCAAGTACTTTGGCACAAGATGTTAATTTTATTTTTAATAAATGTCCCTTTTATTTCTATTCGTGTGTACGTTCAAATACAATACCACTATTATATATTTTTTATATTTCACTATTGAGACAGTATCTTTAGTGAAAATTGATTATATTATATTCGTTGCAAGTAAGTTATTTCAGAGATAGATCGGTAGAATAGACTACCTTTTTAAATGTATTTATGTACATATTGTACTATAAACTATTTTACTATTTATCATAATTACCTAATAATTTATTAATTTTTATTCACTCCAAAATTTATTAAAGTATTTAATAAATCAATGCTTATTATATTTTAATTTAATTCTTTAAATTGATCTTTATGCTGAAAGTTGTTAATGTAATAGGTAAAATTACTAATATTATATTACTTTAAGTTTAATGAATCAGTAGAGGAATGGGAATACACATATAAATTTTTAAATGTTCACATTTTTACGAAAGAATTATTAAATTTTCGTTTAAATATTATTTAATTATTTGAAAGTATAATTGAATAATTGTTGTACGAGATATACTCAGGGCTATCTTTTGTAATAATGTTACAATTCAAAATATTTAAAACTATTAATGAAAAATTCAACAGTAAAAGAAACATATATTACATAATTTTATTCACACTCTAAACAAAAAGTAATGGTTTTAGGACTTTTCAAAATGTAATGAATCCCATATAAATCGGAGTTTTCCTTCGATGCACTCTACTATATTTAAAAAGTACAATTTTTATTTAAAATAAAATAATAATTCATACAATTACTGATCTCAGATGGACATATTTTTTATCTTTAATACATCTAGCCGTTGCGATGTACTGGATAATATCAGTGCTGTACACATATGTATTCATAATATGTTTCAATGAATATGCGTATGCGCATGTATGCGTGTATGTATGTATATATATATATATATAAATTCACATTGTATTGTTTTATCATCGACGAATATAATACTTTATAAGCACATGTAATATAAGCCACCACTTGAAATAGAATTCAACACAATAACGTCATTCTGATGTTGAAAGGCAATCTCACACAAATTAAGCCTAAATTGCGTAATCGAGATGAGGTAAAAACAAAAAAATTTAAGCGAAGAAATGAAAATCTTACTTGCGCGCGCGTTATGCGACTAAAATTCATAATTCGTTTCACCAAATCTCGTTATTCGATTCGCTATTATAATTCTGTCGGCTTTCATCCATGATAATTAAGGCACGTAGAAAAAACACGTGGATGCTTACCTCGTTCGTGCGGATCTGCGAACGTGAAATAAAAATATAAATGAGAGAGATAAAAAGAAAGCGTCAGAGGAGTCAAGTGAGAAAGAGAAGGAAGGCAGAAGGCAGCTCAACAGTCTCCGTCACGAAGCCGCGCTCGCGAGCAAAATATACTGGCTGGTCTCTCGCACAGTAGACTTGTCTTCTCGACTCTTCCCCCTCTTCGATGCTGTGGTGTCTGCTTCTATCTCACTTTCTCCCTCTTCCCTACCTAACCCCACCCCACACTACCTCTCCCTCTAACTTGTTTCGTCTTTGCAAGATATGCGTGGCTGCACGGGCACATGTGTATGTGCATGCGTGCGTGCGCGCATGTGTATGTGTTACGCCCCATCACCGAAGACGCAGCAATTGTCATCGTGAATGTACATCCCATTGGCGCTGCTGGCCCGAAACGTGAAAAGTTGAAAAGAATGGCACGTTACGAGGATCTTCGAGGTTACACTTGTATTTGATTTAGGTTCGTGTTAACGAATTCCATATTTTAAGGCTCGGCCAACTTTTAAAACAAAACACAAAAAAAAATTAATTTAATCGATATTACTTGAAGATTGTTCTATTAAAAGTGAGAATTAAATGTGTATCTTAGATAGATGAAAATCTTTTTGTTAAGGCATACTATTTATCATTTGATTCTTAAATTTTCTAATGGAAGACCATGGTTTAATAGAATTTTTCATGTTTATGCAAACAAATCATAATTTTCATTTGCTGTTTTAGTAGTTTCATTTCAAATTTTATATTAATTAATTTGTAGTAGTTTATTTAAATTTGTACTATTTTAATTATTCCAAATGAATGAGTTATCTTATTTATTTGTTTAAATGTTCTTTTTAAAATTAATTTAATATTAATTACAAGCATTAATTTTTTTTTTAATCTATTTAATAAACTTTTGCGTTTGATATATTATTTCATCAAAAGTACTCGATCATTGGATAAAACTAATATAAGAAAAATAAAATGATAGATCACAAAGATTCTGGAATTTACTACTATACTTATATTAATAACGCAAATAGATGATAAAGTAACTAAACACTATTTTCTACAATATAATATTTTTTGCTAATTTTGACATAGTAGCATGAGAAATTCAAAGCTCTTGAATTATATAATATTAAACGTATAGATAATCATTGTTTGGATGATAAAACATAAATTCAAAAAGTACTGACGCTTGCTTGAACAAAAATGAAATATAAAATATCATTTGAACGAATAAAATTGTCAGAGATATTTATTACATGACGTGAGTTTTCATAAGCTTGTTATTAAATGTAGTTACCGATTGAATATTTTCTTATGTAGTTAATCGGCATTTTTTCAGTTTAATGTAATGAAGGAAAGAGGGACAAGCATCGGCTTATACTAACCTATAAATAAACTAATAGAAAGCAATTAAATTAAAATAATTGAAATTATAATACAAGTTATTAATTTAATATATGAAATGTTCCTATTTTTAAAAATATACTAGGTTATTAAAGAACGTATAATTTTCTTGTGACAAACGTATTTCTGTACACGCGTCCATTATCAATGATTTCACAATTGACCATTCGTGAACAAATCTACAAGTCCCGGCATCTTTGACCAGTGGTAGTATTTCTAATTCGTCGAGTCATGATAACGCGATAATGTTCGATAACTTTTGACAAGCTTTTTCTCTTTCGACTTAGTCTTATTTTGTTCTTTTTTAATAGATCAATACTGTGAGGTAATAAATAAGAATAAATACTAATATTAATAATTTCATTTAATTGAACTTTATGTCATTTTATTAGATTGAATATCAGAATAAGTTTTAAACCCAATTTAAATTACATGTAAAATTATATATATTTGAAATAATGAAACAATAAATAATAATTTCAAATGGAACTCCCATTCTTAAATGATGCGAATTTGATGAGGTAAATTTATAATATAAACAATATCCAGAAGTTCCTCAATATTATGTTTTTATTAATATTTACTTATGTATTATAGTAATCGGTGATTAGGTATTTCACGTATATATGGAAACAAGTAAAGTAAAAAAATGAACGTTTTTCAGTCGTTTATGAATATATATTTCAAACCAAATTATATTTGTAGTAATACTTAGTAAAACATATAATAAAAGACAACAGCATAAATTAAAACTACTAGTCCGATGAAACCGTAAAAAAAATTTGAAGTCCCCTTCTTTGTCTCTTCATATATCCAGTTATCATCATTAACTTGCGCCGATTCTTTTTTACTTTCTTCAATATTCGAGAAACTACCTTCGAATTCGCCAATACAATAACTATCCTTTAATAATTTCGCTTCCTGTAGAAAGATGAAAAACAAAATAAAGTAATTAATTGTGTAAATAATTTCCTATATAATCAAAAAGTTTATGATTTCATGAAAGTCTATATAGTAAAGATAAGATATTTTGTGACTCATAATATATATATATATATATATATATATTGTTTCACCATAAATTATTTATTCACTATTTATTTTTTACAACAGCTATAAAATCGGTTAATAACGGTGCAGCATAAATGGTTCACTCTACAAACTACTATTTATCATTAAAAAGATACGAATAATAATTTAATTTTATAATAAATATCAATTTCTTTATTTCATACATTTACGTTCACATTTAGCTTAAAATCCCATTGCACAAAATAAAAAGAACGAATTTAAAAAGCAAAATGATACAATTTTGTACAATAACATTGATTAAACTTCAAAAATACAATTAAACATACGGCAGCGTAGTAAGCTTACCTCAGAGTGACCAATGTCGTCAAAGCACGTAGTTCCATCTTTGCCAGCGAGGTTGATAAGTACTTCCTCGCCTCCTGGATGTTCTTTTAAAAACTTGGTGAGGTCGTAGACTTTACCATGTAGAACGATCCAAAGGTCATCAATGTTATTATGATTCCTGATTTCCTCAGCTGTGTACTTTTGCGACATTTTTATTTCTTATTCCTGCAATATATCCGAATATTCATGTCTTTCGTTTCAATTTAAATAAAAATATTTTTGTATAGTTCCTTATTGAATTTTAACTTTTTAATTACTCAAATAAACCTTATTTTTTTTAAAAAGAGATTATTTATTTCTATCCATATTTACTTCTATCTTAATAATAAATAAATGATTTTTATTGTTGATCAACATTTATAAAGATTTTAAAAATTATACAATATTCATTCTATAAATAATTTATTGAAAATTCATCGCTTAAAACTATAGATGAATAGTTAATAAAAATTTACTGTTATGTATATTTTACATTTTATTAAATAAATACGATTGTTTTTTTAAAAGTTCTGCGCAATGTCATTATATTAAAATAATTAATTAAATAATGTTTTATTTTAAATTATTAAATTTAAAAAAATTTAAATTATTAAATTAAATAAATAAATAAAAAAGATTTGAATGTTTTAAAAAATTTATTAAATATTATTTTACAGAGAAACAAAAAAAATTATTTATTTTTCTACATTGAAGATCCCACTCATAGAGTTACGCAATACTCAACACTTTGTACAAAGTATGCAGCGTAATTTACTAAATTATTTACGTAATTATCTATTCTAAAACTAACAAAACATTATGCTAAGAAAGTTAAAGCAGTTTAAAAAAAAACACATAATTTTATCTGAATAAACAATACTAAGAATAAGCCATGTCATTTACGGATATTTCGAATTAATATTTAATAGTATAATAACACATAGAGAATTTAGAAAATGCAATAATAAAACATCAAGTATCTATTCCAAATAAATTTCATGATAATACTAATAAATCAAATGTATTTACATTAATTAATAACAATTTATAATAAAATTTACATTTACTTACGTTTTTTTAGTCACTCCTCCTTTCACTTATCAAAAAATTCATTGAGCTATAAATGTTGTCAACTTGTCTACTCTAATAAAATGGAGTCTTTATTTGCCGGTAGTGTACATATATAAGAGAAAAGCGAAAGAAAAATAAGCAAAACACGCCAAGACCCAATGACTTGAATTCTCGACCTTTCATGAAAATTCATAGACTGTCTATTGACTAATATACTTGCTTTAGGTAAAATCATTTGCACAGAATAAGAATAGCGCTTATTGACATTTGTCAATTTACAGAGGTTAATTAATTAATTTTGTCCCCAATACTATATAGAAATTATTATAATAATATCAGTGAATTGTTCAATTAAAATTAAGAAAACCCATTAACGTTCATTCAATATAACGTTCATTTAAACTGTAATTTCTTAATGTTTGACAAGTAATGGCAATGAATAGTAACTTTATGATAATTAGAATTTTAGATTTAAAAAGTCTTAAAGTCAGCTTTAATTACTACTTTAATATAATACAAAAGTATAATACATGTTTAAAGCACTTAGCATAAACATATATTTCTATATGATAGCTATTAAAATACGAAAAACAATTGTTTTAATCCTTGCATTTATAGTTTTCAATTCTCTATGTTCCCCAGGCTTGATTAAATTGTTTTTTACTAAAAAAAAGAAATTCCAAAGATATGTACGTATTTGATTTTTATAAAATAAAAAACTATATATGACAGACTAGATGATCCAATAATTGTGGAATTGAATTTTAACAATTTTTCTAGTTTCATTACCTAAAAACTATGTTATAGTACAGATATGTAAGAAACATTCTGTTCACTTGATATTCTAACTACATCATTGTATATAAAAGAGAATCAAAAAATGTTCAAGGTGCCAATTTTAAAAAATTTATCAAAACCAATTAGAATCTTATCTTTAAATTAATTTGAATATAAATTATAGACATATAGGCAGCTTATATTTTTTTTACTTAAATTATTTTGTTAGTACTTTTAATTTTAAGAGAATATATACAAATTTTAATTGCCTTGACATTTTCAAATGCATATATCTGGAATTGTATTATTTATACTTATTATTGTGTGTTTTTAAATATTTTCTGATACTTTTTATTAAACAATTATGAAGTCATTTATTTTTAACTTATATAAAAATACACACAGAAAACAAATATTAATTTTATTACCAGCAAGCGAATCATTCCACAAGATTCTGCATAAAACACATGTTTATCAATCAAGAAAAAATATTAATTTTTGATATTTTGTAATAATACTTGAAAAAGTATTTGTGTTTTATTATAAATATAACATTCTTAAATTGTCAATGTTTTGTATATCTTCCAGAGGTATATTATTTAAATAGTACAGATATTATAATTAAAGAGAAAAACTTTTTTTATTTTTTATTTTTTGACTCAATCAAAAGCCATGATAATCCACATTACTACAAAAAATATACAATATAAGATATATAAAAAAATTAATTTTTTTTTATTGAATGATTATGGCTACATGTTTCTAAATAATAAACTATTAAAATTATGCCAAACGAGCCATTTTAATGATAACTACGAAAGCTGATAACTACGTATATTATATTATAAAATGATTCATGTAACATTTTATGAAATGAAATATTAATCATCTGTATTCACTTGTACTTTACAAGGGCCACGTAATATTTTTATTTAACGATTTTAACGAAGAGTCCAAAACTTTAAAAATGAAATAAATGCTTTAAAGATAAAAGAAAATAAAATCATCGAAACACCAACTTAAGGATTGTTCTTGTTGATTGTTTTAGAAAACCGGCGCCAGAATCAAAATTTATTCAAACTGCTGCCCGCATAGTACCGATCGAATCATCAGCGTTTGTGATAAATCGGAGACTGTCTTGGATTGCATCCGCGAGCTTGTTACTTCCATCAAAACCGTAAGTTCTCCTCCATGTCATTAAAATATTCATTAGTTCAAACTTTCTTTTAATTAAAAGGTTATACTCGATTAAAAAAAATCTTTTAAAATAACAATGCGAATTAGTAGATTATTATTCAATAAGATTCTTTAAATAATTAAATTTTCATTATTATGTTAGCGTCAATAATAAATAAAAAATATTGTTTTCGTCGATGAATTTACGTAACTGTCGGCCGATCGAAATACTTGAAATTTTAATAACTTCGACAAAATGCAGAATCATAAACTCAAGGCTATTCCAGTATTAATAATTATAATAATAGTATTCTAACTCACTTTTTCTATCTGCATATATAATTGAGTCATACTCGTGATTGCCATTCATAAGTGTATCTTAATTTTGAATTGCAGTCACCGCTGAAAGGAGTTAACAATCCATATGACCCACGTAATTATGACGAATTTTACGCCGAAGAATATGGCGGCTATGGTGAGAACGGACAAGCGGGTGTCGGTGCTGGGAGCGGCGGTGGCAAACCCGGAGGCTTCGGTGGACCCGGAGGCCGTGGAGGCAACGTCGGTGGTGGTGGTGGCGGTGGAGGCATGCAACGCGGCCGAGATAATCGAGGCGGTGGTACGTCCAGTTCTTGACACCACGACTTGAACAATAGCAATGATAACTCCCCTCTGCCTGGCTTGCTGATTCTTCTACCTCAATCGATTAATAGCTTTACTATAATTATGTCAATATGCATTACGTCATACTTCACGTTACGAAAACAAACTAACAAGGAACATTATACAGTGTATCTCAATTAAATTTTGAAATTTAGTTTAGAAAGAATATGAAAATGTAGTGACGATTATTTCAAACAATCAAGTTTTCATAATATTCTAAAAATATTTAATGTTGATATATTGATTTATTATTTGAAATACATGGTTGTAGCTTTAAGTAATGACGTTTAGTATGTCAAATCAATTTACTTGTTACTCCAATTTTTCAACATAGAATTTTATATTATATTATCTCGAAATATTAATCGTATGAAATTAACGTTTAAACTTTTTATTTGGCATAATATTTTTAACAAATTAAGGTATACAATTCTTCCAAAATCTGTCTCTAATCCAATAAGATTTATCTGCAAACTGACCTGAAATTAAAGGAACGGAAATTTTGATTGTAGGACCAGACATGAACCGTGGTGGATTCCCGACAATGAGTGGTGGCCGCGGAGGCGGTGGAGGTGGGCGCGGTGGAATGTCTGGCCCCGATCGCGGCTTCGGCGGCGGTAACGCGCGAGGTGGTGCTGGTGGAGGCGGTACTGGCAACTTTGGCGGAGATCGTGGTGGTAACGGCGGCGGCGGTGGTGGCGGCGTTGGTGGCGGTGGTGGCGGCGGTGGCGGTGGCGGCTTCAACGGCAACCGTGGCGGTCCGCCTTTCTCGGGCGGCGGCGGCGGTGGTGGTGGCAGCGGCGGCGGCGGTAGCGGAAGTGGTGGCGCAGGTGGAAACTATAATGGTAAAATTGTGCATTATTTATTCGCGAGTGCGCTAATCTTTATCCTTGTCGTGTGCAAGACTTGTTTAATTATAAAAAATAACCAAACAACGACTTGTCACATAGTAATTGTATTTAAAAAAAAAGAAAGAAAAAAAATTTATTCAATGATTCATTTAGTTGATACAGAGGGCGGTGTCACCCCAGAGCCCAGCAATCGAGCTGAACTGATTGAATGGTTTATAGGTAACGGATGGGGTGGCAGCATGCAAGGCGGCAGCAATGTGGCGAACGGTCTGGGGGGTGGCAGTGGAAACGCCGGCCTGGGCAATACGCCCATGGGCGGTGGAAACAACGCCACTAATCAGGGAACTGGCGTCGGTGGAAACATAACGAGTACCCAAGTTACCATCCCCAAAGATGTAAGTTTGATTTTTATTACCGGGATATTTCAGAGAAAGTTAAACAAAATCTTTCTAAATACAAATTTTAACTTATATTCAATCTTTGTATTGACATGGCTTTTATATTTACTTTTTGTAAAACATAAAGGCTAACAGATAAGCAAGAAAAATAACAATACAGCATTTTTTCTTTTGTAGCTTGCTGGAGCCATTATAGGAAAAGGGGGGGCACGGATTCGCAAAATCAGATCGGACAGCGGGGCTGGTATAACTATAGACTTGCCTCTACCTGGTAGCAATGACCGCATTATCACCATCACCGGTATGCCCAATCAGATACAAATGGCTCAGTTCCTTTTACAACAAAGGTAAATAAACATACATTGTCACGTTTATATATTTGTTTTTTTTTAATTACTATAGTTATTTTTACTGTCGTTACTCAACTTTTGCAATGATACTATTATCCAGCGGTTCTGCAAACTTTACACAATTTCCTTATGCAAATTAGTCTTATTAATGGCATATATAACTCTGGGTACAGTTAGTGTACCAAATCTACTTACTTTTTTCATTGTTTATTTTATAATTTTCTTTACAACTAATACAAATTCAATTTTTCTGAAATTTTAAAAATGAATTTGTGAATGAATCTTTAAAAAAATTATAAATAAAGCTATATAATTAATTTATTTTAATAATGAAGTGCTCATTTAATAAACCAGTGATTAACATTTACCCATTCGTCAATTTAACCATTAACTTTATACGATTAAAACATGTCTTTGTATTAACAATCACTCAACTTCAAAATTTTGAAAAGGGAAATTATAATTAGCATTGAGAACTTAAATATAAGAATAGTGGTGAAATTTTACTCGACATGGACATATAATTAATTCACAATACGTACAATATAGACAAGTGCAATAAATAGATATCCATTCTATAAAATATTATGACTTAACATAATATCTTCACGTTTATTTCTGAAGACAAATTGGAAGCCACAAACATTGCCTCAATACTCATTTGATTCAACTACTGAAGTTGCTAACAGTATGATATATATAGTAGTGAAGTTGTTAATATTGATAACAGTACATGTTACAGCATAAGTATTGTAAATTTATGTCAATAAAGGGACGAATATTGTATTGTTTGCGCACACGCATATGCGTATGTAACAGGAAATAATAAAAATTGAAATTTGGACAAATTTTAATACTATCCTTTATGTAAGCGTATATATATATATATATATATAATATAAAATTAAATTTTTATTATTTCCTTTTTTTGATATAGTATAAGATTCAATAACAAGGGATTTTTTAACATTACTACTTATTTGAAAAAAAATATTGTCAAACTTATTTATTACTAATACAATGTCAAAAATTCAAATACGCAAACTTCATAATACGTTTTATTAATCAGTGATACTTATTAAATTACTTGCAGGAATTAATAATTTCATTTTTAAATTAATTCTCTACTGTAATATATTGACATAACAATTAAATATATCTCGTATTGAATCGAATTAATTAATATTTATATTTAGCTTACGTAGCTAAAAATGTGGCAACAAGTTACCAAAAATTTTTTTTAAAGAATGTAGGTTAATGTAATTAAATATTTGATAATTTAATTTCAATATGATTGTATGTAAATTAATAATTTCAAATAAAAATCAACTTCTTACGGCGACATTAATTTATAAATGGATAAATGCAAATTATAATGATAGATAATGTGTAAAATATAATCTTATACAAATATAATCTTATAATATATATTATATAATAATATATAAAGTAAATAAAATTTACTTAGTAAAGCTTAATAAAGATTTCATTAACTATTTTTGGACTGCATTAATGTGTAATGACAAATATAATATAAATAATAAATATGCATAATATTTTACCTTCATATCGAATAATAAAAAGTTATTTCAAATACTCCATTAAGTAGTAATATTGTTTACTTAATAGTACCTAATAGTAATATTGTGTAGTAGCAAAATGTTACTTTGTCATAGCGATCTTAAAATTTATATAAAATAGGGATTGTTACATTTGCTACATTAATATTTAAAGTTTATTAATCCGTTTTAATTACAAACTTATTAAATTGTAAAATATTAAGAAATGTTATTAAAAAATAAATAACATACTAAATTGTTCCGAGTTTAATATTAATAACTTTATAATGATTATATGTATACAAGTACATGATTATGAATGCACTAATTGTTATATTTTTATTTTGTATATTTACACGTCACTATATATTTTCACGGAACTAAATACTTTTATACGAATAAAAATATTTGAAAAAGAATAATAACAATTGTTATATGTGTTAACATAAGCTGTTTGAGTGACAACTGCAAAATAATCTTGCTTTGAATCATACGTATTACAAATTAAATAAGTTACAAAATATCTTATATCCTTTTATGTATACTAACGAAAAATGTTAAATGAAAGTCTAAGGCCCTTTTATTATTTTAAAAGATTAAAATTGACAAACATTAAAATTTTAATTACTTATACAAAATTATATCGATAATTCGCCTTTGCCTTTCATTCATGAAATTCATTTATTCGTACTAACATTTTAATAAAAATACTAACTGCTTGTATAAAAAATGTTGCGAGCGAAGAAAAAATAGAAAGCAAAAGAAGAAAAAGATACTTCTTCTTCTACTGACTTCTTGTCCTAGAGTTCGTCGAAGCGATAAAAAGTCCAATAATTGAGCGTCGTTGTATGGAAGACTAGTGATTTTGTTGTTCTATTTGAGGTGTAACAAGGAATCACTAATCATCCTACAAAGTAGCTCATAATCGTCATGTACTACCATGCCTACTACCAGCCCTGCTTGTCTCGGATAAACTAACCAACAACGTGTCTATTAAAAACCATCATCGAAATTCATCACTAATAATGCTAATTCGCTAATGATTTTTTCTATTACATTCTATTAACTTTAAAAAATAATATTTATATTTTTATTGATAGATATAAGCTCTTTGTAAATAATTAATCGCAAGAAAAGTAATTAATCATTATAAACGTTACAAAAGTAAATGTAGAAGAAATATTATAATAAGATTCAAAATTATTAAAAATTTGAAATATCTGTTTGTGCATAGTCTTATTTCATGTATAAAAAATAATGCAATTTTCCTTAAAAGTGAACTATTAGTGTGCTGGAAATTTAGTGATAATCGAGTAATATTTATTTCTTATTAGATACATATTTATTCAGGGACAATAAATATTTCATATATTAAAATTAGACAATTAAAAAGTTTAATACATAATCATATATAAATAACTAAAATTTGAAATAATTTTAATTATGGTTTTTCTTTTACAGTGTACACGAAAATGCTGAAATTCCTTACTAATTATCACAGAAGCGAATAAAAAGGGGGAGCCAAAGATGCGTTTGCAATTTTTTTAATTTTTTTTTTTAAGGAAACTATACCTTGGATTAACAAGCGCTAATAAAACTAAAGAAAGTGGATCAACAACAAAAATATTCACACTGAATAACCAATTCGAAGTGGATACAGACATTGTGACGCATATGTAATGTGGATGGCATCGTATGAATCGTCCTTAGAAAAAAATAATAATAATGGAAAAAGGGAACATATTTTTTCAATAATTGAAAATTACACGCATCATTAGGTTTAGATATTTAAGGCGATCGGCGATCTATCCCCTTCTCCTTCATTTTTTATTTTTTCAAATCGTTCGATGCAACGAATGGTTTCAAAACATTGTTTAGGTAACGTAAGTCTCGTCTACCTATTCGGATAACTAATTGATATAACTTTACTCTTTTAATTTTAATATATTTTTCGTATATAAGTGTTACTAATGAATAACAAATAAAAACTTCCAGTGTTAAGTATCAACCTTTTTATATGTGACAAGTAAGCGTCCATGTATGAATAATCAATATTAACTATAGAAAAGAAATTTTGTAAATTATGGTTCCTTTATAAATTAATTGATTATTTAAGTAATTTTGTTTATTCCCTTGTACATTGATACCTTCGATAAAATTATAAATTATGTAAATACTATGAAATATGAAAAGGAGACATGCTTATATAGATAAATTTTGAAACCACTCGATACTTTAATGCATCTTGTGATTTCCTCTTGCTATCTTTGATAAAGAGGAAGTGCACAAAAATATTTGCGCATGATGACATGAATCTGCTCATAATATATATATCTTTTACAGAAAAAAAGGGTTTGAAAAAACTATTTCGTAAGAAAATGCCCAAAAATACCATTTATGAATATTTGTTTTGCGCAAAAAAAAAAATTTAAGAAATAAAGAAAACGGAAAGAGAGAGAAAAGAAAGAGAGCGTTGCAAAATCTTTGTAAATAAGCAATAAAGCGGCCCTTTCTTTCGTGTTTTACAACCATCAACATTTTGACTGCTGACTGCGCCTGTGTGCAGCTTCATTTTATTATTAAGATTTAATAATTATTAATAATAAATAGTTAGCAGAATATAACCCTTCCCCGTCTCTTGGAATGGGATTCGCCACAATTACCTGTTTTGCCGAGCTCTTCTTTATTATTGTTTTGATGGTTTTATTTTTTTTATTATGTTTTTTTATTATTATTAATTCACAGTATAAATGTGAAATTATTAGTTTCATCTCAAAATCATCAAAACAACATTAGATGTTTAAAAATAAATGATATAGTGTCAGTGACAGTGAAGCAGGAACGTATGGAAATCCTTGAAGCAATTACACCAGAAATAAAGACCTTCTATTTGTAGGGTTATATTAAACATTATTAGTATAGTAAGAGGCGCTGATAAAAAAAGAATAATACACAAGAAATTAATCTATTATCAATTTTATGGAAAGATAAAATGTGTAATAAATTAAATAAGAAAATACAAATTCTCCGTGTAAGCTATCACACTAATTCAAAATAAATCGACAAAACATCTAATAAATATAGATGAAAATGAAAAAATATATATTTCAACGTGTATACATCTTGAAACGCGTCGTTTTAATATAGCATTTATATCAATTATTCTTTTTTCATTTTTGTTTCTCGCAATCAAAAAAGAAAGAAATTCATTTCTTTAAACCGGCGAGGGTACCCTTTTTATATATGTAATAATTATAAAAAGAAACTAAAAAAAACGCCAGAATTAAGCAGCGACTATAGTTAACATGTTCTAAAAAGTATGAATAAATAAGCCCCCCACTTCCCACCCAAAATAATTGTCATATATTTATACATATATGTCGTATGCCTCCCTCCTCGAAACAAATACTTCGGAAACAATCCATTTATAAATGACTTATTATGTAAACTCAGGGCGAACGTAAGGGCATTTTTTCCGTAAAATAACTAAGCGACAAAATAATTTTAGTTCGTGACTTTTGTTTTATGTATTACTCTTCAATTTTTTATTACTATTACTATTATTCTTATTATTATTATTATTAAATATTATTATTATTATTATTGTTATTTTTAGTAAAAAAAATCTCGAAAACACTCAGTTGCACATCCACTTACGATTTTTTGTTTCATTCATTAGAAAATAGACGCCTGCATTAACATACTTATTTTTGTACTGTTCACTAAATTAGGTCGTTCAATGGGCAACAATAATCTTAATAAAAATTAATTATCTAAAGAACTACAAATTAAAGCGTAAAATAAAAAAAGTAACATTTTGTAAGAAGTCGAGTTATATCGTGTGATTGGATGATACAAACGAGAGAAAATAAAGACAAAGTATGAGATGAACGAAAGCGCGTGAGTGTACGAGAAATTATTATGTAGAAAGATCTGCGTAAAAATCATAAAAAGCAATGGGAGGGAGGAGTTTTTTAGGATGATGGCTATAAAAGATGGACATTATCTTGTAATACATTTGTGTAATATAAGATATACTGTTTACAATTAATTTGTATTGAATAATTTTTATTTGTGAAATAAACTTAGTACAAACGACTCTAAATTTTGGGTTGATACTATTTTGTTTTACCTATTACTCAATCTCCTTAGTCCTAAAATTTTTATGAATATGTTTATTCTTTACCTACGAACGTATTGATTTTTAAATGATTAATGTATTAATATTTAAATAATAATTTTTTAAAGATATATAAATGTAAAAATTATAAATATTTCGTTTAATTAAAAACGAAAATTATAATAATTTGTATGATTTATATATACATATGATTTAAAATCACTTTATTTTATTTTAAATAAATCTATAGTTTTAGAAATTTTTGGAAGTTCATATTAATTAATAAAACATTCAAAAAATCTAAAAATGTTCTGACTTTTATTAAATTATGAAAAATAATTCAATTATATGTGTGATTTACAAATGCATTTAAAAATGAAGCAAATCTATGTTTTTGAATTTAATGACAAGATAATTCAATATATATATTCTTTCTTCACATTAAGTTTTTAATAAGATTAACAAAATTATTTATTTACAATGATTATATGTAGTTGAAAAATATATATATAATGTGCACCTTGATCTTAATGTATTGAATATTAGAATTGTTTCTATAATTCTATAATTCGCATTTTATTTCATTACATATATTTATAATATCAAACAATCCTAGATAATTAAGAATAATAGCATGATGTGAAAATTTAATAATGAAACAATTACATTTTTAATTATAATGAAAGTAATGCCTAATCCTTAATATGTATTTTAATATAAATACTTTTGTTATCCCTTAGCTAATATAGAAAGCTACAACTTACATAAATATAAACAAAGTTAATTCTTACATAAAATGAAAGATTGAATTTTATTTTAGAACTACTTGTCAAACCTGACATTCGATTACAAGTAGATTTATCTTCGGCTGTAAAATATCGAACACGGATGTCGTACCAAATAGTTTTGATAGTCAAATACAAACTTAACCTCAAATAATTGTCCCGATATAACTTTATGTACGCATTGAAAGAAACTATTAGGTAGTCAGATATGCGAGGATCCGTGGATTCATTAATCCATTTCTTTTTCTTTGTCCTATCAATTTCTTTATCCCTCTTTGGCTCAGTTTTATCCGTAGAGAATAAATCCCTGAATGGTCTTAATCATTTAACGCCTTGCCATAAATTGTCAAATAAAAGTAAAAAATAATTACGTTAGGCAAATTTACTGCGCGTTCTAAGAATCTGATTTCTCTGGATAAACAATTACATTTATTTGACAATCGTCAAACGCCGCCACTTTCATGGTTTTTCACAACTTCTTTATTGTTCTCGACACCACTGCGAATGAAACAGTCAACACCAATAAATCGAATGTTTTTTTAACGTCATATCATTGTATTCAACACTATAATTTGTACTTATAGGAGCCGGATACAAACGTACTCCATTGTACTCAAAATCTTCTGAGATGTTCAACTGTCAATTTTGCACTCTAGTTTTGCATGCATAAAAAATCGAGAGGATGTGAAATTTATATTTATTTTCCACTTTTCTTTCCCTTCTTCGTTATCGCTTGTTTATTTGGAACGATGAACACTAGGTTACTTTCGTAAACTTTGAAATACTGTTTTTGTTCATTTAATCTGTACACAGTTTTTGTTCTCATTAATTTTGTAAAGACGATTTAAGATTTTATCAGTTGTACATAATGGTACCATTGAAAGCAAGTTTATAAATAAGATGCTAGATGATTGCTAAAACGCATTTGAATTATTTGAAATTAATCAACTTTAGATTGTTTTATTATTTAACTAAATTAACAATAAAATATATTCTGGTTTTTTAACTGAGCAAATTTCAAATTAAAAACCAAAATAGGTCAAGTACAGTTAACTTAATTGCTTTAATTTTTTAATGTAATTAAACATGCTTACATATGCAATGTGAATGAAACAGGGAGGGACAGAAAAAGAATTTTTTTTTAAATAGTTTATATGTTATAATTTAAAACCCTAATTGCTCTACGATCTCAAAAGAATCTCGGATTAATAGAAAAATTAGTGACTTAATTGAAAAACGCACCTAGTCATGAAAATCGTATTTTTATATTTCTATTCATTTTATACTTATATCGAGATGCTGAAAATTAATTAATATGTATTTATTTACACGTAAAATATTTTAATTTGTATATTTACATTTAATAGCATACAATATTAACAACACATATCAAATATAACAAAATTGGATTATAAATATGGAGTAACGGGAAAAAAATCAAAACGATTAAATCATGAAATTTCTTGAAATTTAATTTAATATCACAAAATTTAAATAACTATAATATTTCAAAATTGTTTTAATTTATTGCACTCCTTACTATTGTTTTAAAAAATTAACTTTAATTAACAAATTAAATTACTGAATAGACTATTTATCTATTATACATAATTGAGATTTTGTATTTCATGTAATCTGTAAAAATTGATTGATAACTATTATACAGTTAAATCTTCGCTACAATGTCTAATCACCATAAGGTTTGAATAGACTACGATTAAATAAAAAAGACTTATTTTTAAACATTGGATTAATAGTTTAATATAAATTAATAAATAATAATACTTCTTGACTGATTTCAAGAAGCTTCAACTGAATGAATATTAAGCTATTTATTCTGTACATTGTGTTGCTAATTTTTCAGGACTATAGTTACATATTTTACAATAATAAGATTAAATATATGGTGCTACTGCATACAAAATTAATATTATATTAAATTTTAAAATTATATGAGAGCTTAATTAAAAACTTTGAATGTGAAACTTTGCATACATTGAAATATTCTGTTTCCAAATAGTAAATATGAAATCTTATAATATTCAATTTCATATTAAATTTCATACTTTATAATTGTATACGTACATTATGTTCAATTTTTTATACAATTAAATAATTTACTAACCTTGAAAAATTATTCAAATCGGTGTTCAAAAGTTGATAGATTCCGGTACTCTCTTTTGAA